TATATATTGAGCATTACTGTTATATTGTGTATATATGTTAATTGTTATAGCTGCGGCTGCTATGCTACTCAAGCTGTATAACAGTTCTAGATTAGTTGCACAGTTATCGGGCAAGCTTGGACACTCTTTCTCTCTCTATCTCTCTTCCACTGTCTTTAGCACCCTTGGGTGCCTTTTGCTTCCTCTCTCTCTCTCGTTCTCCTATTACTACTCTTCGAACAGTTTTTTGGGGGCGTGGCAACTGTCGTCGCTGCGCTGCCGCCAGATGGCAACGCCGTTTCGCTTCGTTTTTTTCTGTTTCGTCTGCTTCGATTTCGATTACTCGTTTTGATTTTTTTTTTCAATTTACTGTCGTGTTATCGATGCAATGCATGTGGGAATGTTTGCAACTGTGGAATGTCGTGTATAACAGTTTGTGGAAATGATGATTTGGTGATTCGCTGCTGCTAATCCTGTGTATTGCTTTTTATGTTGATGTGTATAACACATTAGTGGCGCACTATCAGGCCATCATAGCTGCGTATAACAGTTGTTGGAATGAGTTGGTATTGCTGTCTCCGCTGTGTACGTATTGTGTATAATAGAGCACTTAACACTCGCATATAACAGCAACTGAAAGCGGCATATAAAAGTTGTAGCTGCTGTTGCTGTTGTGTATAACAGTTTCGATTTATGGTAATTATGGGCTCTTCAAGCATGTGCTTTAATATTGTTGCATGTAACAGTGATTAGTGCATAATCGACGTGTATAACAGTTTCATTTGTTGTTTTATAGTTGCCATTGTTTTGGTACTGTACTGGGGTATAGCAGCCGCTGTGTATAACAGTTTTCACAGTTTGTTTATCAATTTCTGCACTACTGGTGTATAACAGCCGTTGTATATTACAGTTTTGTATTGCTTTCAAGCTGCTGCACAAGCTAACGCCCACTTAGCACACGTGTATAACAGTTAACAGCGCGTATTAAAGTGCGTTCGCACTGGCGGCGGGGGCGGTGCTCGACGTCGACGATCCACATTCAAGCTATTGCCCGCCGCCGCCGTTGCACCGACCACCGCTCGACCGTGTCCGTGTCCGTGTCCATGGCCGTGGGTGTGGGCGTGGCCATTGCTGTTGCCTGYCAGCGCTGCAGCTGCTGCTGCTGCCGCCTCCTCGCGCAGCTTCTGCTTCTGGTCGGTGAGGCGAGCGCCCAGGCGATGCACCTTCTCCGGACTGAGAATGCTGAGGCGTGTGCTCTTCGACAGCTGCTGTGGTGCAGACGAGACTGTGTGGATTAGAAGAAGATGCCAAGATTTAGATACAGATTCACTATATACGTGGATATGGATGGATCTATAGCTATGTGACAGATGTGATCGACAGATGAAAGTCATATTTATTAGTAATCGTTGATGGGAAAACTGTTATAATTGAAAGCTATTATAATGCGTTTTGTGCTTTGACATAATAGGTTCTTGATCCATTCAGTCTTTATTCCTTCCGTTCGGTTTTCCTGGAACTAGTAATACTATTAAATATAATAATATGGTTTTATATAATTCCCTTGATTATTTCCTACTTTAATCGCCTTACACATTGCATTTCTACTCTACGTAACTTTTTAGCTCAACAGTCTAAAGTTCTCATAACTCTTCTATCTAGAGGCTCTTCTCTTTGTTTACTGAGCTGAGATGTAGTATTATCAAGGGAACCTATTACACCCTTGATAATACTACATCTGCAGCCAATTTGTTAGGCATTTGACTCTCTGTTCAATACTAAGCTCAAAAGCAATGGATAATTATAGAGAAAAAGCATTATATCCTGATTTCCCATTTTCAATGGGTTCAGGGTATAACAAGTAAGAAGACTATAGTCGAGACTGCTCGACTAGGAGATACCCTGAACCCTCTAATCTGATATTCTAATCAGTCTGCACTTCTTTTCGCCACACATACATACATACACGCACGTATTAGAACGCGCTCTGCTAACTGCGCAGTAAGCAGCGACTGCGCTTGGGCTGCGCTGCAGTGTGGGCAATATTATGAGAATTTATTTGTTGAATAATTTAATTTCTAGACGTAAAATCTTAATAAAACTTCAGGGCGTAATCATATGGTGAAAATGTATGTACACTCCAAAGTACGCGTCTCTAGTACTTGAAATACGCCTTTTACAAAGGTGATGGTGAGGGGGTGGATATAGGGGTGGGGGATAAATTTTGATAAAAACCGAAATTATATAAAATACATATAAGTCCACATTTAAAATTTGCAAGCTCTAGCTCTAAAGGTGTAGGAGATATAATTAAGTAACTAGGTTTCGATAAGGCTTTTAATCGATAATAAAATATCGGGAGTAGTTATCGACATATAAAGAAAAACTTGATATGCGCGTGGTATACACGGACCTAGGAAAAAAAATTTCAAGTCTCTAGCTCTTATATCTTCTGAGATGAACGCGTTCATACATACGGACGGACAGACAGACGGACAGTGCCAAATCGACTCAGCTCGTCGCCCTGATCAAGAATGCATATACCTTGTGGGGTCTGCCACGCCTCCTTCTGCCTGTTACATACTTTTAACAAAACCATTATACCCTGATGGTATATGGGTTCAGGGTATAAAAATATCTATTACAAACTGACATCCATTTGCCTCTTTGATCTGCTTTAAATGTATATTTATGAGACTGGTAAGCGGAATACCGACACACGCTTGAAACTAGAGATATGTTTAGATTTTGCTGTAGATGTTAATGCTTACTACTCTATAGCTCCTCAATATCTGGGAAAACCTATGATAAGCTAAGTAGTTATCAGTTCTAAGCGAAAAACTGTATAACTGTTTGTATAAGAAAATGTCATGATTTAAAGCTATGTAGTGAAGATGAGGTATCATCTATATTCAGATATATATACATCTATAATTGGCAACAGATTCGTTCAAAACGGGAAGCTTTAAGCTCTAATTTAAGCCCACTCTGAATTCTAAACGAAAAACTATGGACATTTGTAAAGAGACATACGTTTCTCTCGAGCTATACGGATTTTTACTACATATACATACTATATAGAGCTTTTATGGTAAGCTAGATATATTCTTTCAGTTAAGCACAACTAAGCTTTCAGCTTGCTCTAAGTTGATGCGAATTCTAGGAGCGCAGATCTTGTTCTGAGATCATATGTATTTGTTGAGCCTTAGAGATGTTGGCCTAATGGGATATTTAACATAGACTGAATCTAGATAGTAAATAGCTGACTAGCTAGCATTTAGTTACGCTTAAGGCTCTCGATAGTCGAAAGCTATTGGCCAGTGCTGTGGGAGGCTGTAGCTCAGTTTCTCTAGTTTTGTTGAATATAATCTATTTAGAGGTCTCTAGGGGAACAGTACGGTACATTCGTTTGATCTATTGGACTCTAAGCTCTCTTGCGGAACAGCGGCGCCATTGTGTTAGCCTGGCTCTATCGTGGCACTCAAGGGGCCATCCGCTTCAGAATGGCATGCTCCAATGGATTTACCGTGATTGTGGCTCTGGCGCTGTGCCGTCGCTGCTGTGTGGCGCTGGGCGAGATGTTTGCCCGGTGAGCCCGGTCGGTGGCGAGTGGGCGAGGCTCCATTGCTGTTGCTGCTATTGTTGTTGCTGTTGCTGCTATTGCTGCTGCTGTTGTTGTTGTTGTTGTTGGCTATGGCTGTTGTAGATTTGTGTGGCTTTGTGGCCTTGCTGACGGGCTGAGCGGCACGGCGCTGCCAAGTGGCTGACAGTGGCAGCGTCAGCTTGTGCTTCTTGGCCAGGCAATC